CGGTTTTAGATGCAGGATGATGAGGATGGTGCTGGCCTGGGCGGAACCACCAGACCCTCAGGATTGGGCTGGCAGGGATCAGAAGGCCAAGGAGGAGCCTGGGCCTGAGGCTCGCTTCACACCCTCACAAATAGGAAGACATGTTGGTTAGATGAGCCCTGAGCCGCATCTGTGTAAATAATGGTAATTGAGCCTGTCCCATTACGATCACTTGTGGTGTCCTAACCTTGTGGAGTGAGCCTGTGAACCGTCTGCCCATCGTGCTGCTGGGATGCTCTCGTCTGATTCCTCTGTGTGTCCCTCCTTTCAGTGCTGAAGGGGAAACGTCCAATCCTCAGGTGTGAAACACTTGCGGTGTTGGAGCTAGGATCGAACCCTCCGGGCTACCAATTGCAAACTGGTTTCAGGCCCAGAGATGTCCATCCCTCTGAGTCCCGCCCCTGGGGTCAGGGGTGTCAACGGAGAGGGAGGAGTAAGGTGGTTTGAGATGCTGAACCTGCACCATCTGGCCCCTGGTCTCACCAATGCAGGGACACTGCTTCCAGCGAGGTCACACGACTTCGCCTGGGGCCCCCCGGGGCGCCTCTCAGGCCTCTCCCCACCTGACCTCTTAGCAGCACCCCCCCGTGGACCACTTCCTCCTTCCACGATAAGCTGTGGCCTCACACTCTGCTGTCTTCTCTCTTATCTTGAGGGACCTTCCTCCCTTTCTCCTTGTCTGCTTCCTCCTCGGGCACCGCACATCTGGTGCTGGGGCCGGGGCCTCTTTCCTTCTCACCCGCCCTCCTGGGTCGTCACATCCATCCACAGCTTCTTTCACTCACGCTGACTCCCCGGCTTTACCTTCAGCTCAAAGTCCAGCCACCCTGTTGCCTCCACTTTGGTGTGTTCGAGACCCCACCAACCCAACGTGCCCCAAACTGTAGTTTCTTCCCGGCAAACCTACCCTCCTCTCGGTGATGGCACCACCATCCGCCCCATTACACAAGCCTTTGGTCATTCGTGACACCTCCCGCTCCCCGCCTCCTCTCCAGGCCATCACCACATCCTGACTCTTCTAATAATACAGTTTATCTGCAAACAGTGCTTGTCTCGCCGTCTCCCTCCCTTCTGCCCTGTCGGAGCCGCCGCCATCTCTCAATGTCAGCAGGCTCCTCGCTGCTCTCCTCCCCCACATTGCCTCCTCCAAGCCGTTCTGTATCCTGCTGCCACAGCAAACTTTGAAAAACCCAAATGGCCTCATATCACATCTTGCTAAAATTCCTTCCCATTGCACTGAGGATCAAGTGTCAATTTCTTAGCATGGACCTGCCTTCTGACCGGCTCGCTGGTCTCGGTTCCATGCGTTTGACTCTCAAGCCACACTGTCTTTAGGTTCCTTAAGTGGCCGAAGTTTCCTCCGGGCTCAGGGTGGGTCGCTCTGCCTGGGGGGCCGCCATCCCGCTACCTCCCCTGCCCTGGTGCGGTCAGACCTCTCTCACCCCCCAGGACTCGGCTGAGTCGCTTCCTCAGGGCAGTCTCTCTGAGGCAGAGTCTCTTGCATATGGAGGCCCCTTCATGGCGCTTCCTTGTTTAATGCCTGAGGCCTCTGTCCCATCCACCAGTGTGTCCACAGTGCCCAGAAGAGAGGCTGAGGCCGAGAGGCGCTCTGTGCATCCTTGTTGAGTAAATGAACGCAGCCAGGACAGGGACCAGCCTCGATATTTGCTGCTCGGGAGTGTTTTCAGGTCACACAGAATCCTACCCAGGGAGAGTTAGTAATTTATTTTAAAACATTTATAATTTTTTTTAACATTTTTTTTTGTGTGTGAGGAAGACTGGCCCTGAGCTAACATCTATCGCCAATGCTCCTCCTTTTTTTCCCTTTTTCTCCCCAAGTCCCCAGTAGATAGTTGTAGTCATAGTTGCACATCCCTCTAGTTGCTCTATGTGGGACGCGGCCTCAGCATGGCCGGACAAGCTGTGCATAGGTGTGTGCCCAGGATCCCAACCCGGGCCGCCAATAGCGGAGTGCGCACACTTAACTGCTAAGCCATGGGGGCAGGCCCCAAACATTTATAATTTAATATGTGTAAGTCCTAATTAGAATTTAGTCTTAGTGATTGCTTTTTTTTAAATTAACATTTTTCTGAAAATAAGTTGAGAAATAAGTTACTGGCCATTTGCAACTATATAAAAGTTCTCTCGTGGAGGGGGAGGAGAGACAAGGGGTGTAAAAATCCTGTGACACTGTCCTGCGTTGCTGGAGGCAAGCCCTGCAGGAAGCAATTTGACAAACTATATTACAAACATTGACGGTCTGCACGCGCCTCAGAGCTGGCCGTGGTCTGCCAGAAAGTCCTCCTGCTCCTGGCAGAGGTGGAAGCATGTAGGATCCTTTGGGAAAGCAATTTGGCCATCTCTAGAGCCACAAAGCTGTATTTCTGGGGCTCTAGATGGTGCCCAACTAACTTCCTCAAGGAGCTCTTCCCTGGACCCCCACCCCCTCAAACCAGGTACCCTCACCTTGATTCGTGTACCGCGTGCCATGTCTGTAATCACTTGTTTAGTGTCTGTCTCCCTCCTAGGCTCTGAGCTCCATACAAGTAGGAGCAGGACTTGCTCTATATGTCTCTGTATCCTTAGGACTAGCACAGAGCCATAGGCACCTTAAGGTAAACAGGTAATTGTTGGATAAAATGAATAGAGAAAATCATGCTAAATAGAAATAGACTTAACCCCAAATAATATTAACAGTTGACCTTCGTGGAGTGGTTATATGAGCCTGGCGCTGTTGCATGTGCTTTGTGTGTGATAAAGCTGTCACTGCAGCCTTGAGATTCCTGCCTTCACAGATGGGAAACTAAGGCCTAGAGAAGTTAACTAACTTATTCAAAGTTAAGATCAACCAGCTACTAAGTTTTCATCAAAACTTTATTTATAATAGGCAAAAATTAGAAAGAGTCTGCATGTTGTTTGAACAGAATATCCTGCAGTTGGTAGTCTAGGTTTTCAAAAGGTGCGTAGTAACAGAAAGATGAGTATGGTATAATATTTACGGTCCTACTCGGTTCTGTCGCTACTGCTGTGACAATGCCCTTCACCTCCACGTGGTACCCACGCTTGGATTCCAGAGTTACAGCTCTTTTGGTTCATTCCAGGTGTGCGAAGGTGGGGCAGAGGAGGCCAGACAGAGGAGGTGACATCTGGAGGGTTGGAGTGTTTCAGAGAGAGACACGGGTGAGCAAGTTCTGAGATGCAAGGGAGCATGAACCTGCAGGAAGTGAGAGAAAAGCTTTGTGTCTGGGAGGAACTTATAAGAGATGAGGCCGAGGAGGGAAGCCGAGGTCAAATCCAGAGGACATTTGAGTTTCTCCCAACGCAGGAGTGCCCTGCCGTGACAGTTGCCGTAGGTGTGGACATGAAAAGTCGGAGGCACCAGACGTGGCACCCAGAGAAGGGCCGTGTGTTTGTTTTGGTAGAATTGATATGTCTGTACTTTTGCTGATGTGAGTGTGGACTACACATGTAACGTGGAAAATTAAAAGAATCTAAGACTCAAAGTCTTAAGACCTAAAGACAATGATTTTTCGGAGTCCGAAAGAAAACCTCTGCTTTTTGCTGATTCTCTCATAAAGCTGCTATTTAGCCCCTTTGAACTGGGTTGTTTGCTTTCTGTTTGAGATGTATGAGCCAGCACAACTCTTTGGTTTAAACAGTAGTGAGTTCTGTCCTACTGTGTCTGGAAAATGTTGGTTCAGGCTAAAAGTTCCAGGTGGGGTACCATAAATGTGGGGTTCCGTAGCTTGGAGGGCCTGAAGAAAGAAGAGTCTCTAAGAAGTTAACCATTTTTGTTTTCTTCACAATAATTAGTTTGTTTACTTGTAGTGTTTCTGGTAGGATTATGGACAGAGGGACCAGGAAGCTAAGTACAAGATTTATCTCTGGCAACACCAACATTCATTCCTGCCCTTTTTTCTAGTTACACGCCCTCAGGTACATCAGATTGGAGAGTCTTCCTCATTTTTCTGTTTTAAAATGTTCCATCAGCCTAGAAAACATGATTTACTCATTCATTCACAAATAATTATCAAATGCCTAGTATAAGTGAGGCCCTATGCTGGGGGTACAACAACATCACTTTAAGTAAACAAGAGAACACAGACCCTGATGTCATGGTTCTTATATTCTATGGAATGTACCTATATTCTATGGAATGTATCTATATCTCATGGAATGTACCTATATTCTATGGACTGTATCTTATATCCAATGGAATGTCTCTATATTCCATGGAATGTATCTGTAGTCTATGGAATGTATCTATAGTCTATGGAATGTTCTATAGTCCATGGAATATATCTATAGTTTATGGAATGTATCTGTAGACCACAGAATGTATCTATAGTCTATGGAATGTATATATAGTCCATGGAATGTATCTTATATTCTATGGAATGTATTCTATAGTCTATGGAATGTATCTTATATTCTGTGGAATGTATCTATAGTCTATGGAATGTGTCTATAGTCTATGGAATGTATCTATTGTATCTACTAACAGCAGAGGACATTAAACAATCAATTGAACAATAATTACTAAATAATCTTCACTTAGTAATTCCGAAAGACCCAAAAGACACATACTTCCAGGGGACTACAAGACACACAGGGGCGCTGAACCCAGTCTGGGGAGATCAGAGGAGACCTCCTTAGGAAGGGACATTTGATCTGAGCCTTAAAGGATGAGTTGGTATTAACTAAAAATTGCCACCCTCTTTTCATTCTCCTTTCTTTTCCAGCCTTCTTATAGCTCTCTTTGTCACCAGAGTTATGATCATTTTTCACTTACGAGCTGCTTACAAACAGCTCTTAAAAGAGGAAAATAATACTGTTTACAGCCTCCTTCAGTCTGAGACATGAAACTTCCTAAAGGACAAACAGCTGTCTTTTTATTGGATCAAAATTAGAGAAAGCTCTCAGACAACTCACATTTAGCACCTTGCTTTTTATGTTTTCAGCAACTCAAGCATCCCAACCTTGTCAACCTTATTGAAGTCTTCAGGAGGAAGCGGAAGCTTCACCTGGTGTTTGAGTACTGTGACCACACTGTTCTCCATGAGTTGGACAGATATCAAAGAGGGTGAGTGATCCATCCCTTACAAACAAAACACAACGAATCACACCAGGATTCGTGAGGGAAAATTAGCAATGACCCTTTTTCAGATTAGGCAAGAACAGCCAGTGTTGAGACAACATACTCTGCTGCTGGAGTTGACAGCAGAGGAGTTACCAAAATGTTGGGAAAGAGATCGTTACTAACCACTTTCATGAAGAAAGCAGCAGCAGCATTATTAGGTTGAACTTGAGTTCTTTGGTATGTTGTCTGTGCATGGAAGCTGTCTGAGTCACTGAGAAGGAAAGGGAAGGATGTTAATTATTCCGTGCCTAACCAGGGAAGCATGAGGACCTGGAGACTGAAAGGAAGAGTCCACAGACTAAGGCTAAGAGGAAGATTAAGGCTGAAACAGAGATGGTGTTTCATCCTAAGCAATCCAGTTGTCTGGTCTGCTGCATTGGTCAGGACTTCTTTGATTACAAGTGACAAAAACCCATCTGAAGCAAGTGTGAGAAAGGCGTTTGTTTGTGGCTGTCACTGGGAAGGACTGGGGGTGACTCTGGAAGCTCATCACACATGTCCCTCTAGGGTATGCAGCTCTTCTGTGTAAGTTAGAGGAAGGCTTGGTGGGCAGACAGAGCCTTTGTTTGAATAAAGGGTAGGGGGGTCCCTTCCTCTGGTTGAGGGTAGCTCCCTGCCAGTGCAGCAGAATGCAAGATGGATTTGGGCTCCCATGCCGTCCTCGGCGGAGGAGAGCTGTAGGTGGTGGTTCTCTCTCTCTCTCAACTCCTCTCTGTGTTGGCTTCATTCTGCCTTGCAGATGAGTCTGCCTTATAAGGTGGATTTCGGAGGGTGTGTGTGTGTGGCATAGGATGGAAGGAGTTAGGAAGGGAAAACATGGAATGGAAAGCAGGCGACAGGCTTTTATTAATCTATGTAGCCATTCTAGAAGAAAGAAGTTGTAGAAGAAGGTATCATCTGCATATACAGTCCTGTGGAAGCCTCTGATTGGCTGAGCTCAAGTGATGCAACTATCCCTAGGGCCAATCACTGTGGCCAGAAGGAGAGGGTAGGATGATTAGCAGGCTGTCAGAGATGTGATTCAAAGTGAGTCAGTCAAAGAAGCCTTCGTGGAGGAGGTGGCCTTTGAGTTGAAAGGTGAGGAGATTTAAGAGAAGTCGAGCAGGGAAGGATATCGCAACCTCTCCTTTTTTTTTTTTTAACAAGTTTTTTTTTTTTTTAAAGATTTTTATTTATTTATTTTTCCCCCCAAAGCCCCAGTAGATAGCCATATGTCACAGCTGCATGTCCCTCCAGTTGCTGTATGTGGGACGCGGCCGAGGCCAGAGAAGCGGTGCATCGGTGCGTGCCCGGGATCCGAACCCGGGCCGCCAGCAGCGGAGCGCGCGCACTCAACCGCTAAGCCACGGCAGGCCCGCAACCTCTCCTTTTGCTCTGCTCCTGGGAGCCCAAATTTGGCTGGTGATGATAAGCAGAGTGCATTGTAGATCAGAGTGGTGGAATGACGCCCTTCCGGGCTCCCATTCACGCTCCCATTCACACTGGAGGCTGAGGCTCTTTCAACAGTGCTTCCAAGCCGTGGCAAAGAGCTTGCTCTGCCACATGGTGGTGGTTGTACATGATCTGCCGTGACCTCCAGGCAAATGGGATTAAAGCGGCTCCTGGTTTGTTAGTGACCCTGGCATAGGCTTTTCATGTTAATTTAAGCAGCCAGAGAGAAAGCCAAGAGAACAGACACCTCCCTTCAGAAAGTCGTTGATACAGAGAATTGTGTGTTCAAGGGAGAAAACATTCAGTGTGCTGGTATTTGCTCTTTAGACAGCTTGCAAGTGACGCGTCAATTAATCTTAGTATCAGTTGCTTGTGGGTGTGTGATACTTTGGAGATGTTGGGGGAGGTGGATTAATCATGTTAGATTGAGTCACTTGGAAACGCTGTTTAGTGGGGGGTTGAAAACAAGTGGGAGTCAGTTCTTTTTTGGCACAACGTTTGAGCACAAGAGAAAAATGACAGGGCGAGGAGAGATTAGTTTAAAAGCAGATTGTTTTTTAACTCCACTGGTAAAATATGTTATATATGTTCCAGGAAATAGAAAATGCTTTACTATGGAGGTGGGTTAGAAAAGAGAAGGACCAGTAGTGGTCCTTTAATGTCGTTAAGTGCAAACAACTTCATTTCCAAATGACAACGTGCCGTGGTTTGTCAAATATAAGATTGACTTAAGGAACACTAACAAATGAGCAAGTTTTAAAAAATAAGATTTATCCTAAGCCAGATCGTATCCATTTATTTTGAAGTTTAAGGATTTTCTTTGTTTGTTTTAAAAAGTCACTTTCCGTTATACTATCTGGCAATTCTCCAATCTATATTAAATGCAATTTCAAATTTTTGCTTGTCATCATTAAGGAGTAAACATCATTAAACCGTGTCAACCAAAGATTTTGAAATTCATAAGAAAACTTTTTATTTTCAATTTAGAGATCTCATACTATGAAATAAAACTTTGTAAGTACATTCCCAGTAAAGGGGAGTCAGCATCTTCTGTGTGACCTTCGGCAAGTTACAGGCGTCCTCGCCTGTAAAAATCGAGAGTTCGGGACTGGGTAAACATCAAGGGAACTTGCAGCTCTACAATACCATGAACCAATGCTCTGATACCCTGGAGGTCAGAAGTTCTCCTTCATCTCATAACTCACCTATTATCAGCAGAGGCTCACGTGCTCCTGCTGGTGTTTTCCTGCCTGGTGCCAGGCTGAGTCCGCCTTAGTTTGCACACTTACCCCAAGAACATCCTGTAATCACTAGATTTCTAAGCACAAGTTTCTAAAGTGCAAAGTGAATCATGCTCCTCCCCTACATAAAATCTTTTCATAGCTCCCACCCGAAAGCTTGTTGGTTTGGTTAAAGCCCCTGGCGTGGGATACAGGATCCCACTCCCTCTGCACGATTGCCCCATTTCCACCAGTCTCCCACCCCATGGAATCACTTGCATACTAGGCTTCAAGATGTGCTGTTTTCTCAGCGAGGTTTCCCTGGCTTCTCAGCTCTGGCCTGCAGCCTCCTGCTGTCCTTCTGCTGCAGGTCAGGATGACCTCCTTTGTGACACCTGCCTTAGCACACTGGGGAGAGTGGGGCGTTCCTTCTGCTGGTGCCCATGACATCCTCTGGGATTATTTATATTACAGCCCCATCTGCCCAGTAAACTATGAAATATTTGAGGGCAGGAGCTGTGCCTTCCCCCCGGGGTACCCCAGTATCTTCTAGCTTAATGCGTGGCACGTGACTCATCCCCAGTACTTGTGGAATGACCGAGTTAGCAAACCAATAAATTGATACTTACAAAATGATTTTAAAGAAGAGTAATCATAACACTCTTTCGATTATTTTTCATTTTAAAATAGTTACTTGAATTAAAAAGTTCTAAAACCTAATATTGTCAAAGGACATTATCAGTACACTGCTGGAGCAACCTGTCCAGAGGGGCAATTTGACAATGTGGGTTAAAAATCTTGGAGACGTAATCTTAGATTGAGCAATTCTACTCCTAATACTTTACCATAAGAAAATAATGAGTATACATATAAAGATTTAGCTATATAAGTGTTTATTGTTAAAGTATTGTTTATAATGAAAAAATTGGAAACAACTGAAATGTCCAATGACAGAGGATTGGTTAAGTAAATTATGGTATATCTTTACCATGGAATACATTAGAGCCACTAAGAATCATGCTTATAGATAAAACATACATTGACATAGGAAAATGTTCATGAGTAGTTGCAAAATGAAAAAAAATTATGCTATAATAAAAATACATATTTTGTTTTCATAGAAAACAGTAATTAATATAGAATATAACAGAAAAAAGTAATGAATATACACATTTTAATAGTGATTATCTCTGAGTTATGATCATTATGGATATTTTTCATTTTATTTGCGGTTTTTTATATTTTGTCTGTGTTCCATTTATTACTGTGGTAAAGTTTTAATTATTAAAAATAATTCTTGCCAAATCAGACTCAGAGACTTATCTCTACTTTGAATCTGAAATGGACACTAATTCATCACCTTATTGACAGGCTTGTAGCTTCTTGTACTCCTTTGGAAAGCTTTTGAAAAATATTCAAATTCATGTTGCTACTAACAAGCAGGTTTATGCCATAAGATATGTCTCCTGCTACAGTGACATGGATACATTTCCATCATGAATCCCAGGGCTGTGTTCCTGTTGTTTGTATCAGTCCTAGAACAAACATATCACTGTTCCTTAACTTCTATTGGACTTAATATGCTTTGTACTTATTATTTTATAAACTATTGGTCTCTCCTATGTCCAAGTTTTGTAAATGACTAGTTTAGGTGTTCTCTTCTCATTTTCCTGCCCATCTGTAAGTGCAGCCAGCCACAAGACTTCCTCAGTTCTTTTCTGCACAGATTCCATTACCACCAGTCCCTTCTCTGACTCTCTAGTAGTTTGTTGAAAGAATATCTGGTTGGTAAAGGGTATTACTACAGGTTTTCAGTTTCTGACAATGGAATTCCAGAACTCTTATAAAACCATAAAAATCTCTTTTTTTTAGATTAAAAGTGATAGATTATTTGTTGTAAAAATGTTTCAAGCAGCACAGAAACATAGAAATAAATAAAATTAACATTTATAAGCTGTTTTCTAATTATTTTTCTATGCATATATGTATTTTTTAATATTTTATTTTATTTTATTTTTGAGGCAGATTGGCCCTGAGCTAACATCTGTTGCCAATCTTCCTCCTTTTTTCCTTTTTTCTCCCAAAGCCCCCGTAGATAGTTGCAGGTCATAACTGTACATCCTTCTAGTTGCTCTTTGTGGGACGCCACCTCAGCATGGCTTGATAAGTTGTGTGTAGGTCCATGCCCTACAGGCAGGACCGCTAGGATCCGAACCGGCGAACCCCGGACTGCCAAAACAGAATGAGCGAACTTAACTGCTACACCACTGGGCTGGCCCCTATGCATATATATATTTTTTAATAGACTGTACTCCACATACTGTTCTGCATTTTCTAAGTGTGTTCAGGTGCTGTCTCTCTATTCATATCTATCTACTTTTATGCTTTTTAAATGGCTGTATGGAATTCCATTGTACAAATATACCACGATTTCTTTATTCAACCCCCCATTGATAAATATTTAGATTGTTTCTAGTTTTTCTCTATTACTACCAAGGCTACAGTGAACAACCACTTGCATAAACATTTCTATAGGATAAATCCCTAAGAACGTATCATTTCTACAGGAGCTTGGCTGGCCCTTTCTTCCCCAAACTTTCTGAGTTATTTTGTGAAACCAACACATGATGCATCAGGACAGAGATATGCAAAGCAACCTTAAAGGGATGGAATGGCTGCCAAGCTGGTTAGAGTTGACCAATTGCATGTGCTTTATATAGTGACAAGACCCTCCTAATTTGAGGATGGGTGCAATTAAGCCATCTCAGCCTAATGACAAAAACCAGTCAAATTGCCTACTTTTCCTCCAGTTCTTTGCTCACCAAACACCATTCTGATTATAATTTGACTTTCTTTCTGGAGTTGCCGACGGGAAGAGCATAAGCTGGTACTCAGAATTTGAACACGGATGAATAGATTGGCATCTGGTTTTATATATCAGGCTAGTAAATTTGTTTGATGTTCATCCGCCCTTTTGAAATGGATACTGTCTTGGTGTGCTGACAAAATTAAGTGTCCATGTCTGCAAACCTGAGGACCATTGTAAAAGTGACCCACCTGCCGGCTGCTTTTCCCGACAAAGCACCACATTGTGGCTGTGATGAGATGACTGTTTCCCCCTCAATTCTGTTCTTCACTTAATAGTCTTTCATATGCATTTCTGTGTATGTTGCAATATAGTCTCTAGATCTGTTATTAACTATAAGGTATTACATCTAGTTATATTACTGTCTAACCATCCGTCCGTTGTTGAATATTGAGGCTGTTTTCAGTGTTTCATCTGATAAATGATTCTGCTATCTTCCTACAAATGGAATTTTCTTCTTCTGCACTTTTTCTTTAGAAGTTCTCAAAATGGGATTCTTGGGTCCAAGGGTTTGCCACACTGAACCTATTTCCCTTATCACCAGTGATGTGGATTTATGTATTTTTTCTTTATAGTCATGCTACTTTGGTTTCTATTATTAAAATACTTGATGAATGAATTCCGTCAAACACATAAGGAAGAAATAAGACCAATCCTACAGAAACTCTTTCAGAAAATATAGGATGAAGAAACTTTCTCAAATCATTTTATGAGGCCACCCTACCGTGATACCAAAACTAGATGAGGGCATTTCAGGAAAAGAAAATGACAGATGGATATCCCTCATGAATGTAGGTGCAAAAATCCTTAAAAAATTATTATCAAATCAAATCTGGCAGTATAATGTACCATAAAAAGAGTGATATACTGCTATTTCTTGATTTATCAATTTTTAGGCATTATCTATAGACTTCCTATTATGACAGAGGAGGATTTAGCTCTCTTACACCATTATTCCCTCAGTGTCCCCTTTCTACTTCCCCCAAACAGTTACAATAACATTTTATTAATTCAGTGTTCCATGTCCCCATTATTACACCTATGTGAACATTACCTACAGCTGAGCATTCTACCATACCAGGGTTTCCTTTTATACTTTTCCTACAAGCTAATATTTGCCATGCTTTCTAGATTTGCTTGATAGTCTTTAACCCTATTCCTAACTTTCCCCACTCTTTTTTAATTGGTTAAAAAGATGGTACAGTCATGCAGAAATCTAGACCACAGACATTTCTAATGACACTCCTTCCTCCAGTCCTCACTCTTCCTTGGAGCCAAACAGTTGGGAAACTTTTATGTTCCTGAGGGTGAAACAAAATCCCAAAGCAGGCAGGAAAAATGCCATAAGGTCACACTGGTGAAGGACTCAGGAGTACACTCCCCCTCCACCTCTTCCCACTAGCGGAAGAGGGGTTCCATTCCAACCTCCTAGAAGGAGTGCCACTGCTGAGCCGAGCGACAGCCCGTCGGGCTCCAGAGGAACAACTGTGGCTCTCAGTGAGGCAACTGAACTGAAGACCCCAAGGAAGACCACCTGACTACCCGGGGAATGAAAGCATGGCTTCCTGAGCCCCTCCCACCTTGGTTTGGGACAGAAAATAAAGGGAGTGTCCTGGTTCAGTTTCCTTATGCCTTGCCTGGACTCCCATCTCTAGGTCTGGGGAGCCGACGTCTTCAGGAGTAAGAGGCCCAGACTGGATCCTGTCCAGCTCCCCATGAGCATGTTTACTAGGAAGAGGAAATGGAAATATAGTTTGTCTTAAGTTCAACGTCCTGATCTCATGGTGGAGGAGAAGAACCAGGCCCAGGAGGAGAAAAGCTCTGACACCTTCCTCCCTCACAGGTTAAGGTTGAGCTTACACGTGGTTCCTCTGAAGGGACAGCTTGTCTTTGAGCTAGAATCCCAATGGGACTCTTGAAGACAGTAAAGAATGAGAGAGAATGGGCCCCTTACCTTCGTCGCTGTTCAGTCCTTCCCCACTCTGCCCCAGAGCTCAGCCATGACCAACATTACCACCAATGTGGAAACGGCTCACCCTCAGTCTCTTGCTGAATCCCCTCCAGTTTCTAACCTCTAAATGTTTCAGGGCCTAGGGACTTGGGCCTTTTCTTCTTTTTCTGTCTTCAGTATTTAAGTGGCTTCATCCAGTCCTAGGATCTGAATACTGTCAATATACCTAGGCTTCCCAAATTCATGTCTCCAGCCGGACCTTCCTTCTGAATTCAGAACTGCCTACCCAGAGTCTGCCCTTGGATGTCCAGTAAGCATCTCAACTTGTCCGCCCTCCCCTTCCCCAAACCTTCTCCTCCCCTAGCATTCTTCTCAGTGAAAGGCACCCCCTGAACCAGCTACTCAAGCGAAAACTTTAGTTTCAATTCTTGATTCCTCTCTGTCTCTCACTTCCAATCTCTCAGAAAATCCTGAAGACTGTATTTTTAAAATATAGCCCAAATCTGGTCACTTCTCACCATCTTAACCACCACTTCAGACGTTGTCTTCAGCAGATAAGCGTTCTGGATCACCCTATATAAGATGCACCCCTTCCAGCCCAGCATCCTCTGGACATATGTGTATCTCCGATTCCAGTCCAACACCACAGAATAGATTCTATTTTTCTCCCGTTCCATATTTGTGTCTCCCTTCCCCAACAGTGAAAAACCTGGCTCCTACTGTCATCAGCGAAAAAGGATCTTAGACAGAGTCTGAGGCCCCGGCATTTCAGAAGAGAAACGGGGTGATGAAGAAGTGAAGTGAGGAGCCAACCCCTGGCGACACTAGGTGGTTTGTGCGGAGTTTTTACGTTTGAGCATTGTGTAAGGATGTGCTCAGCCTTAGAGGAGCATTAGTGATATGCTATTATAATTTACGCCTCAAGGCTCCTTTTGCATGATTTCTTTGGGAAATGTTCTTAGAGACTAAAGTTGCCTGGCACTGATAACCTTATATTTGTACTTAATTCATTAAATAATCAAAATAGATTCCATTTTTCTGGGCAAAATGCGGAGTCTGGGGGAAAGCATTTCCCTTGACATACCCTCTTCTTCGTTGTATTTTTCTAGGCCTTCTTTCTAGACAGGTGAGTTTTTCCAGCATCTGTGCCTATATGCCACTAGAACAAGGAAGAGAATTTGGAAAGAAGCTTCTTCAACCCCAGGGACTTAGTTCTGCTCCAGAAATGTTCCAGCTCTTCTTCCCGGAAGTGGCCTCTCTGTTTCCTCCACATTGTCCTGTCCTCTGTCCAAGCGTCCTCTGATCTGCTCGAAAGGATTTCCTGAACATCTGGTCTGTGATAGCAGTGGCCTTGTAGCTCCTCCCAGAGGCTGGAAGTGACTTTTTGGTCACGTTAACACAACTACTCAAGCATTTCCTCCCCGGTTTACTCATTAGTTCAGGCTGAGGACAGCAAGGCTGTTTAATGTTTATCACAGAAGCACCAAGTCCAGCTGGTGGGTGGGGTCTCTGGAAATAAATGTACTCTGTCTGTATCCATTTCACTCAGTGCCTAATATATATATTTTTAAATGCCCCAGAGGAGGTGTCTTTTCCTAATTTGCACAAAAGACCTGCTGGGGCTCCTGGTTGCTCTAGTTGTATAAGCTGAGAGTCAGAAAACAAGTGCTGGGAGCAGTGGCCTCAAGTGTAGACACTGATAGAGGAGGACAGGCCAGAAAGACGTGTGCAGGATGCAGCTGGCTCCCAGAGAGGAGAGCGTAGGGAGAGAACCAAGATACCTACGTGAGTTTTTAATTATTATTAACTTGTGTGACATGGTGTGCAATGTAAACCTCTTCCTTTTCTGCAGTAAAATCTTCATTACCTTAAAAAAAGAAAAAAGGCTGCTGGGGGGGTCTGAAGAAACCATGTGGCCTCACATGGAAGATGCATTCTGCTTAAGGTCATCAGTTTGGAGCAACTTGAAAAAATAAACAGCATCTTTTATACTGTATTTTCACTAACTTTCCAGCAACAAATAGCTCCTTATAGAAATGGAGCTTCACTTACCAGGCGGGTTCCCAGGGGTGTCCCAGATGTTGGAGGTGGCTGGTCATGAATACTTGTTGGAATCCCTGTGGGTCTTTATGGTCCCTCCCTGTAGAGATGGATGTCTGCACTGCTGTGACCTTGCCGTCTCTAAAATCCAGCAGTGTGCCGATCACGTGTTCTTTATACTTTGGACCTGTGGACGCTTTGCTCCGTGAGTTAGATGACTCTGTGTGTCACCTAGGATCTTTCGCTACTTAAGCCTGTCTTGGTTTACTTGTTTTTTTTTCAGCTGAATTCCATGGCTACGCTAAAGAACGTGTTTGTGCTGCTGCTTTATTTTCATTAGGGTTCCAGAACATCTTGTGAAGAGCGTTACTTGGCAGACGCTGCAAGCTGTAAATTTTTGCCATAAACACAATGTAAGTCTCATGATCTCCCTTGAAAAACCAGAAGGCTGCCCTTAAGCTGAGGTGCAGCCTTTGTGCAAAGTTTATATCATATTTTTGTGAATATATTTTTTCACCCAAATCTTCCCAAGCCTGGTTGGGGTAAATAGCGACTAAAAATGCCAACCTAGTGATTCCTTCTTGTTCAGGTTACATAAAAGGTGCATTTTTATGATTTTAAGAAAGTAGTTGTATATTGATACTGATTAGAAACCACTCAGATTTAAGGTAGAATCCCATCTGCCTGGAGTCTGTATTGGTCTGACACTCAAAAGGCCCTGAAATTGGGGAGGGGCCCCAGGTGACTCCTGCCTGTGCAGCTGCAGCAGGTGGACCTCCAAGCACGATGCATGAGGGCTAGTGTCTGCTCTGGAGAGCTATGAGGGCCGCATCTGGATTGGAGCTTCCCGGGGGAACCTCGGACATCCCGGGCCAAAGCCAGACCTGGCAGGAGGCATGGTGGACGCTGCCCCGTGGCATGACTTCCCAGGTGCTGGGAAGCTGCGGCTCCCTCCAGAACCACACTGCCCACTCCCTGCACACAGGAGCCAGATTCCAGTGTCACAGCTTCATTTTGGCCACAGAGGCAATTTGACTGTAATATGTAATGGACCCCTGACTGCCGGGGTCCATTTAGCTGGGGAGGTTGAATCCCCTCCCTGTGTGGTTCTAAATGACTTTTCCTGAAGCTGCCTTCCCAGAAGAGAAAATGTGAGAGTAGTCAGCACTTCTCCCTACTGAGCCTCCACTTGGCTGAGGGCCATAATCCTTGTCAAAATGCATGTATAACAGGCAGTGTAGACACCTTGTATTGCTACTTACACTCTCCTGAGAGCAGGTTTTAGGATGGGGGAGCAAGAGAGACCACATGCAGGCCCTGGTGGGGGCAAGTGGAATGCATACCCCAGTCCCTGGAGAGCCCGGAAGCTCTGTTTGGTCACATGCGCTGGTGGGGGAGTGGGGAGAGACTCAGTAAAGAGTTCCCAGAACAGAATAGGAGTGCGTTCTTGCTTACAAGCCCTCTGACCGTCTGTCATCGTGATGCTCACGGGTGGACCCATTTATAGTAACATGTGAAGTCAGTGGTAACAGAGTAGAGATCTCAGGGCTGTTAATGGCTGAGAATCAGAAAGATTGTAATAAAATAATTCAGAAATTGTCTCCCTTCAATTTTTCCAAGATAGTAAATACCCGTGGGGAAACGCTGACCCTGATCTCCCCCACTGAAGGTCCTTTGGAGTGAGAACTAGGCCAGGCCCAAGAAGAATCTCTGTCCTCGCTCCAAATTCTATCAAGTTAGGAATACCCTAGGGTTTCAGCTGCACGCCAAGAGGATCTCTCAGATGCAGAGGATCCAGTATCTTCTCCAGAGAGGAAAACGCTTGGAAAATGGGAAGATCATTGGGAACCTTGAACAGTGTTTTGACCCAACTGTTGTTGTTATGTCATTGTTAATTAGGTTGTTGATTTCTTCTTTGCCAAGAAAATTATTTCACAAGAAAACCATGTGGGGGCTGGCCCGGTGGCGTAGTGGTTAAGTTCGTGTGCTCTGCTTCGGCCGCCCGGGGTTCGCAGGTTGGGATCCCCCAGCAAGGACCTACTCACTACTCATCAAGCCATGCTGTGGTGGCATCCCACATGCAAAATAGAGGAAGATGAGCATAGATGTTAGCCCAGGGCCAATCTTCCTCAGCAAAAAGAGGAAGATTGGCAACGGATATTAGTTCAGGGCTGATTTTCCTCACAAAGAAAAACCTATGTGAAGATCCTTAGATGTTGTTCTGACATCACCCTGTTAGACAATGTCAGTGTGGTTTGGAAACCACAGGTGATTTGAGTCTAAACTATGGAGCAAGGGCTGCATCCCAGGGGGCGGGGATGGATGCAGCGCTGAGAACACTTGACGTGTGTGGGACACAGCTGACACCTAGCGACTCTCCCCAGAGGCTGAGAGCTGCCTGCTCTGTTTATCTTGTCAGGACGAATGTCAGAGCTGTGGTTCCGCCCTTCTCTTCCTCAGCTTATCTCAGCAGGCCCAGGGCTTGTCCTGTTTACAGGCTGATTGTGTTCTGTTCTCAGTTCAACGGCTGAATCGTGAACTCTGCTTATGCACCAACTTGCAGCTCCTGCAGCCACCGTGCAGGCCTCACCCAGAACCTTTTAAGGCTCCCCTTCACCTGGGGCTGCAGATTCAATACAGGACACCCAGTTAAATGTGAATTTCAGATAAACAGTCATAACCTTTTAGTATATGTCCCCCAAATTATTTATTGTTTATCTAAAATTCACATTTAACTGGGTGTCCTCTATTTTTTTTTTTTTTTTTTCTAAATCTGGCTACCCTGCTATCATTTGTCCTTTCTCCTTTCTTGGTCCTTTTGGGACCTTCAGGAATTTGGGGTGATTCAGGCTATGATAGGTATAGTACTGGAGTTATTTTAGGCTGCTATTTTGCAGCCTTTTATCCAAAAGGCCAGTGAAGAGTTGAAAGAATTTTTCAAATATTTGCTAAATATTCACACATTTTATTTACCCCGTATATTATAGTTGCCCCTTAGTAATCCAGTTTTGTTTTGCTCTTTGTGACTAGTGCATTCATAGAGATGTGAAGCCAGAAAATATCCTCATCACGAAACAGTCGGTGATCAAGCTTTGTGACTTTGGATTTGCTCGGCTCTTGAGTGAGTACTCAAGTTTTCCTTAGTTACGTATAAAAGACGGAAACATTCTTTATATGATAAGGGATCTCAATGCTATAGAAAGCTAGTTCTTGTATATTTAGGGCATAAGCTTGCCATAAATCACACTTCTGTAATTACTGAAAACATGTAGACACATACAGTGGTTTCAAAATGTATGCCATACGTAAATCACACCACAGCAAAGTGGTTATTAAAAAAAATGTTACTCTCCTGGTTTCTACCATTTTTTGCTAAAATAGTACTTTTCAGAAGTACTATTTGACTGCAGATTAGAATCATCTTGGGAGCTGTAAACTATAACTGTAAAAGTTACAGTGACACCTCCAGGCCCTCCCCC